GAAATTAACAAAAGAGCAGATATGCAGCAAATTGGTGTCAGAGAGTGGGACGGAAAAAAAAAAGAACATGGAAACGAGAGGTGGCAAATCAAACTACAGCTTAGCAGATTTGATGGCAGCAATACAAGAACAGCAAAAGAAACAAGAAGAGAGATTACAGCCGATGTTGGAGGAAAAAGAAAAGAAACAAGAAGAGAGATTACAGCAGTTGTTGGAGGAAAAAAGAAAAGAAACAAGAAGAGAAACAACAGCAGTGGCAAGAAAACCTGCAACAGTGGCAGCTCGAACAGCAAAATAAACAAGAAGAGAGACTACAGCAGTGGCAACTGGAACAAGAAAGAAAACAGGAAGAAAGTCTCCAACAGTTGTGGGAAAGTCAGCAGCAACTACAGGAAAGTCAACTACAGTGACAAGAAGTACAAATGGAAAACATTAGTAAATTTCAAAGTGAATTAAATACATTAAAGGATGATTTACTGTCTTTTATGCAGGGAGGATATATTAACCATGGACCTAATCAGCCCCTGACAACAGGAAGCTCCTTCCAGACCCCACTGCTAAACCCTAATGTAAACATCTTCAGTCCTCCCAAAAGTCACATTCCAGACATGAGTGTCAGCAATAGGGGTGATCTAGTACGAAGGAAGCCACAGGAATTCGATGAGAAGGTACCGTGGGAAGCACATAAAGCACAATTTGAGCAACTGGCAGAAATGAATGAATGGACAGAGGAGCAGAAAGCAGTGTACCTGGCAACGAGCCTGAAGGGACAACCACTGTAAATACTTGGACAGTTGTCAACAGACAACAGGCACAACTAGAGAGCATTGGTAGCGGCTCTAGAACTCAGGTATGGAACTCAAAATCAGTCCGAAGTCTACAGGGCTTGGTTTAGGATGAGAGTCCGTGCCTGCAAGAGCTGGCACAGGATTTGGAATGTATGGCACGCAAGGCCTACCCAACTGCGCCACCCAATGTCCTCAAGCTGTTGCTGAGGGATCAGTTTGTAGTTGCCATGGACAGTCCACAATGGAAGATTCAAGTAAAGCAAGCACACCCCCTCTACTATGCAGGATGCAATGGCCAGAGCTCTTGTATTCGATTCCTACATTAAGTTTAGCACAGAGGTAACAAGGTTGGTACAATCATCAGGATTAAAGGCCAGAAAAGG